ACTCAATGCTTTTCGTTTGCAATAAACCGACGAACACTGAACTCAACGCATATTTGCGGTCAAACACTATATGCGATAAGTTTATCGGTTTTGCGATAAATTACAGCAAACAGTCTTCTCGTAAATAAGTTAAATATTTTAATTTCTTTAAAATGCATTCATTCCTCAACAATTATAAAGATTGTGGTTTAGTTATTATTCAATACAAATTAGTTTATAATTAGTGATTACTTACCTACTGTTCATATATTTTATTCTGTAAAGTAACTGGGCTAAGTATCCCTTCCCTTGGAGTTTTATTTTAACAATTATTTATGACCTGATTTAAGACAAATCACAACTACAGCACACTATTGCTATTATATACTGTAAGTAAAATGGAAAGCATTTCAATACGTGTACACTATTACTATTATTACTATTGATATTATCTCAATATTCTAATATTATTTAACAAATAAATTGTATAATAAGAAAATTAAACCAANAACCTCAAAATAAATAACAATTATTTATGACCTGATTTAAGACAAATCACAACTACAGCACACTATTGCTATTATATACTGTAAGTAAAATGGAAAGCATTTCAATACGTGTACACTATTACTATTATTACTATTGATATTATCTCAATATTCTAATATTATTTAACAAATAAATTGTATAATAAGAAAATTAAACCAATAATAAATACAGAGATAATAATTACGTGTAGATTACTACTCTAGAATTGTAATAGATTTAATTATTTTGAGTAAACATTACATTCACAGTAATTAATGGTAACAAAGGATAGTAACTGTGTTTAACGCAAATCATTGATTAAGAAATTAAATATTTTGTCGGTACAGTAAAACTAATCACTAATTCACTTGTATTGCATTTGCTTAGCGACTAAAAAGATTACATGAATACAAATATGACTCTAAACCAGAAATATCTTATGAGTAGACAAAGACTTGATTGTTTGGCAAAACTGAGTTATTAGTTTGAAACCAGAATTTCTAAGATTTATTTCACAACTGATTGCTGTATTTAAATAAAACCTCAAAATAAATAACAATTATTTATGACCTGATTTAAGACAAATCACAACTACAGCACACTATTGCTATTATATACTGTAAGTAAAATGGAAAGCATTTCAATACGTGTACACTATTACTATTACTATTAATATTATCTCAATATTCTAATATTATTTAACAAATAAATTGTATAATAAGAAAATTAAACCAATAATAAATACAGAGATAATAATTACGTGTAGATTACTACTCTAGAAATGTAATAGATTTAATTATTTTGAGTAAACATTACATTCACAGTAATTAATGGTAACAAAGGATAGTAACTGTGTTTAACGCAAATCAATGATTAAGAAATTAAATATTTTGTCGGTACAGTAAAACTAATCACTAATTCACTTGTATTGCATTTGCTTAGCGACTAAAAAGATTACATGAATAAAAATATGACTCTAAACCAGAAATATCTTATGAGTAGACAAAGACTTGATTGTTTGGCAAAACTGAGTTATTAGTTTGAAACCAGAATTTCTAAGATTTATTTCACAACTGATTGCTGTATTTAAATAGTAAATGATGTGGATAATTGTAAAGCATAGGTAGCCTGGCTTTGAAGGTTACTTGAAATACAATGATTTGAAATATAAGCGAAACTCAGCTCATATTATACAGTCAGTTGTCAGCATATTTGCTAGGGCACTAATAATGTCAACAAATGTGTTGTCAATTCATTATAATATTCTAGTTAAACGGATTACTATGAAAATGATGACAGTTATAGAGACAACACTAGACTACAATAGTAAATAGGTGACAATCGTAGATTGTTGACAATTAGTGGTTATATTTGGTATGAATAGTGTAATAAGAAATGACTAAATACTGCATAACCTTGAAGCGACCTTCATGGAGACTATTACATGATAGCATAGAAATGGTGCACAGAGTATAGAGACTGTATAGTGCTATAGTGTAGGGTATGGTGGAGTGACTGACCTCCGTCTCCAATGAGTTTCATCTGAACCAAAGAGGGGTCTTCATTGTGTTCTTCGAGTACTGTGTCGTCAGTCAGAGTTAATTCCTAAACCAAAACCAAAACCACAATATTTTATTCAATTATTTCGAAATTACGTTCAAATTATCAATTTTTAAGTCCATTATTACAAATATCATACGCGAAACTAAATACTAAAAAGTTTCAAGGACTAAATGTGTATAAAGTATTAGTATTACGTTATATCAAATCATATGAACACAAGTCTTAAACATATTATGCAGACTATATTTCCTGCTTTTGTTTCGATAAAACTTCAGATATTTTGTTCAAAATGTAAATTTAGATATAATTTAATTGCAATTCCATACAAACTTATCATTACATAAGACTAAAATAGCATTCAAAGTCGATTCAAAGTTATTGATTTTTTAAATAAATACATTTTCTTTTATCTATTCATATAAAAACCTTCGAGTATTTTAACGTATATAGAAATACTATTCTAAATACAGTGCTGTACTGTAATTGCTATATTCACTTATTATAGCAACAATAGATTAATCATAAAATTAATGGTTAAAAGTGAATATACTGTATGAGGTGAATAATTGGTAAAACAGTATTTGGTAATATACATCCAGTACATATTAGAAAATAATGTTGAGTCACACTAACCCGTGTGTTGTCGTTGTAGGAGACGATGACTGCTGTATACCATTGAGTGGTTCCTTCACTTCTGTAAACCTTAACTCTATTGCCGAACAGAACTGAAGGAGTCTTCTGAAGAAGTTGTTGTGAGTCTTGAAACTGAATCCACTTTCGGAGTGCTTTTCTCACTTCAGGCGCTTCTATGTCTGCCTTTTGGTTCTCTAAATCTGAATCCTTCACAACAGAAATGAAAAACAAAAACTTGATTAACGCTAACAGTAATACGCGTATTGATAAAAAATAAGTAATATTAGCGAATAGTGTGTAACGTTAGCTATCGAGAGCACATTGTTGTGAACGTGAACTCACTTTGATTTTTCTCTATTGTGTAATTATAATAGAGATTATATTATATTTTCTACAACAGCTCACATCCCCTGCCGGCCCCTAACCAATGGGTCTCTCTAAAGCGCAGACGGAAGGCTCACATATTTGTCTACTTTTTTTTATAACACATAACTCGGATCGCCATTCAAGTCAAGTCTGGCCTGAGAAGGCATGTCAAGTTCCCCCTCAATAAAGACCAGCTGTTTCTAAACTATGTCACTCTATGTCTATTACAATGGCTTACACTACAAGACTACACACTCTACCAAACAGTCAACCAAATAATGAGATATTTTTAAATAAAACCCAAAAGTGAATCAAACGTAAAATAGTGTGAATGACTGCCAACTTATAAAATGACTGCAAATACAGAAACTCAATGAATATAAACGAAAACACTTTAATCAATACCATACGTAATACCGTATTTGCATTTTACGAGATTTTAATTAAATCAAATGTTTTTTCTCAACAGATTAATGAATATTCATTTGTTTTAGGTTTCACTGAAAAGTTTTATTTAATTACTCAACAAATGTAAGAATTCAAGAGAAAAAACTTAGTTTTATGTCATTTGAAATATTCAATAATAATTAAAGAAATAAAATAATACATAAGCACAGAAAATGAAATCAATTACCATATTATGGTGCATAATATTATTATGCTGTATTAGGAAACTCGATTGAAAGTATTTCTTTTTTATAATCATTTATTTTGAAAATTAAATTAATCCCTTTGAAATGCACACAAGGCTCTAATTGAGTAAATTTGTTATCAATGAAATCAAGTTAAATTGTATATGAAACTGCAAAGAACTGTATGTGCATTCAATTAGGCCTATTCAAAAACACAAAAAGCGCTAAATATGTCCACACTATTCATCGATACACTATTATAGACAGCAATTGTAAAAGAAATGTATGATTATTACCTGAAATACGGTTAAGTCTTTGTAATCAACGAACTCTAAGTGTTTGTCTGATAGCAATTCAATAGGTTTTAATTTGTTGTCTTCAAATCCAATTTTGTCGACTAATGTCTTGAAGTTCTGTATAATATAAACAAAATCATAAAAACGAAGCACAGGTCGAAGGCAGCAGTTTTCGGGCCAATTCACTGCACTTGTAATGAGTAATCAATTTTTCTTATATGCAATACGAGTGGAAATAGTGATCAAAATTATTTATGAGGCAAAAGAGGACATTCAATGTTATTTAGTGTGTATAGGGACGACATTAGACAACATTTGGGCATTTATATTATATAATTCTGCTATGTATACCTGTATACCTGTATTTGTTTATTATATAAGACATTATAGAGATCTAGCGTTACTATATGTTTGACTTAAGTGTTATTTTAGAGCAAAATTCTTTTAAAAATAGAATATTTTAATTAATAAAATTAACCTTAAGGTTCAGATATATAGGAATGAGAAAATTGATATTTTGCTCAAATAATTGCCTATTTATTTGGTGTAAGCATAGTAACTAAATACTGTACAATCGTATGTATTATCGATTATGCAATATATGAAATGTATAGACATATACACATACCAGAGATGGGCAGAGGATGTGGTTGTTGTCAAACCAAACCAATGTGTGTTCAATAAGAAAGAGTCGGAAAGCGTTTTGTTTGTAAACACGAATCCATTGCCTCTGATGCCAGTCCTCGCCATCGAATTCCACTAAAATCTGTCAAATATATGCAAATTGTTTATTACCTCCATGAAGACACTTCATTAAACATTTAATCACAATTAGACATTCAATTAGAAAAACTAAAAATTATATTTCAAAAAATGCTTTTATAAAAATAAATGAATGAAAATAATAGAATTTATTTAAAACAGTTTTATCTGTGAAAATAAAAACGATAAAAAAGCCTCAATTTTATAGTTCAAGAGACTCTAAAGTGGGTTAAATGTGCGCCCGATTTGTGAATAATGAATAAGACATGAGTTAAGGAATATACGGTATGTTTGATTCACCTCTACTTGTATAGCATTTACTGATTTCACATTTTCGAGTTTATTGAGTATTGAGTATAACTTTTTTCATTTCAAATTAGACGATAATCACTAAACTAAAGGCATTTCCTCAATGCGATTGCATTTCTTTGTGTTCATTCATACCAAACATTTGTCAGTTTTTCAGATATTAATTACTTGGGAAACATCAGTAAAACATTTGTTTTTTAAGTAAAAATAAATACAGTGTAGAAAATATAAACAAAAGTGTAAATACAGTACAATAATATGTGCAAGTACAGTACAGTATTAATATTGGGAAATGGGAAACAAGGAAAATGACAACATTTAGGCATTTGGTGGAAAATATTTGAAACATTAATACATTATAAGGAAAAAGAGATCAACGAAAGAGAATTAGAGGTTGTGTTTGGCGTTGAATGCAATGATTTGATGCCATAAATAGCATAATTAAAGCCATTATTTGGTTCCTTAAGAATGATTTGAGAAATGAGTCCAAAGTCCTTAAACTCAGTTCTCATACGTTAACTGTTAAGAGGTTTAGGCATTAAATAGCGTTATGTTGTATGTTATCGACAATTATGATGCAGTTGTGCCACTATTTGCCATACATTCAAGTGATGCCCAATTTATAGCCTGTCCTCAATTCATCCCAAACCTGACTACACTCTACACTATAGTCCGGTTATGTCAGTGACTCAACCAAACTATAATTAGTTTCAATTCATTTATGTACCAAATATTCAATACATCTATGAATCCAATGACATTTGTTTCATACAAACACATTCACTGCAACTATTCATACATACGGTATAACTATACTTACCGTTATATAGCATAGCATCAAACATAACCAACATGATACACATGAAAATAAGCAAGCTACTAAATTATCATAATCCATGACCACTACAATCACCTTGGTGTGATATAGTGGTACATGTGGGCAATCAAATGATACTAACATTGAGGTCGTGGTGATGGGGGTCGTGATGGGTGGATGCCCTGACAGTGCCCCGCTTGCAATGTTGGTCATGGAAGTGTTGGATCAATTGGTTCACTTTGCTTTGGGTGCGTTTGGTGTGCTTATGGCCACAATTGGCTGAATTGCTATCATTTGGTAGACTCTGAACGCATAGAAACCTTTTGCCAACGATTTCTTCTCTTTCCCTATACTTGAGAGCCATTGAAGACATTCAAAGTATCACTCATTTTGTCTCAAATCAAATCCATGGGTCACTCATGAGTTATATCCATGTAATCATGTGTTGATGATAATTGGCACCACTATAACCACAATTCACATCACAATCATATGAATCAATTGCTGGACATTTGTGTTCACTGAAACACCAACACAAACATCAATACAAATACAAACACTAACACTAAATACTGGTTCAGCATTACATACATAGCATAGCATAGCATACCAGTGCTCACACCAGTGTGAGACTCAGCACCAGTTCAGCACCAGTTCAGCACCAGATCCGCCCACAACCACAACCAGCACTACATTCAAGACATACATGAGATACTGCTGTCAAGTACCTCAACCACCCAACCATCGACCCAAACACCCAATGGACCAACCCTTGCACCCAATCTCACACACACTACGTCCACGCATACAGTATTGCATAACGCATAAGTCAAACACTATTATTTCAATTATAACCAACGTTTCTACCTTTGTCAATTCAATTAATTTAGCATTTATTATACACCATAACACAAATGAACAGGTCTAAATTGCGAGTTAAATGTATTTATCATTATTAAGCAGTCATTACTGGATTACTGGATCATTAGTATTAATATGTTCACCTCAAGTTGGATATCTAGTCCATCTCATAAGTTTTATAAATAATAAAAAAGGTAGACTAATAATATATAAAGATCATTTATTTGTGATGCAACCAGACTATTGGTCATTTGAATTTGTTTACAATAATTGTGTTGTATATAAATGCATTTGACTAAACTACTAAAAAGTTAATTAGTACTACATAAAAATGTTCACTGCAAATATAAAGCTTAACATTACAGTTAAACAGTATAATACAGTATGGGGTGAATTATTGGCTAACTTGTAAGTTATGATATATGAGCATCACATACTCAATACTTGAGCATAATATGACAGTATTCAAAATGTTTATTTAATCATTTAAATATAATTTATAAATTATCCAAATAACATATCATACAAGTTATGAAACAACTTAATAAATGATGATTAGCCTCAATCATATGGTCACAGAATGTCTGCCACCAGATGTCTATAGTGTGGTCATAAGCCCCTCCCTCTACATAGCAATTAACATAAGCTGGTGTCCAATGGGAGCCATGAATACAATGGTGTGAATGCATTGACGCATTCAATTGACGACAGGTTTAGGTCTTTAAACTTAACGAAACGTTTGAATCATTTGTTTGTAACGTAATTGTAATAAAGAGTGTCTAATACTGTCTAATACTGGAAACGACTACAACTTTGTCACAATTGTGTGCATTGTGTTGAATACGAGTCGTATTATACGACAATTAAATGCCTAT